TGTCACCGAAAGTACTGTAATAGCCGGAGTGGCGGGTAGAGGGCGAAATATCTCTGATGTGTCCGCCGCTACCACGAGATTGACGACCATAGGATGCGAACGGCGAAGGGCGATCTGCTTGCTTCACCCTCACACTCGAGCGTCTCGAGCGAGGTCTAACCACACTGCTCTTGCTCGTGGAAGAAAGGAACGAACTTTTGTGTCGTAGGCTCCTAGATTGCTTAGAGGTTGCGCCTGAATATGTTGTTATCCTGTCAGACTCAACCTCATTCGCCTTGGTAGGGATCGGCATCGGTGGAACGCTCTGAGAAGGAGGATCTACGATGTCTGGGATAAAATCTTCTGGCGCCTCTGAAAGAAGAAGAAACGGCGTTCTTTGGGTCCTTTGGTCCTCCCGACGAATAAATTCTTGCTGCCGACTCTTCTGATTCGTGAAGTCATGTTTTCTCCCAATAATAGCCAATGCCACGCTTGTTTCCAAAATCGCGTCAGTTTCAATAGGATGGTTAGCTCGCATTTTGTGTCTTGCGGCATGCTCGGCATTGATGCAAGAGACCTTGACGTTGGGAATCTTGATATTGGCTCGTGTGGAATAATGGGACCGTGCCCAATCGTTGAAATCAACATTGATAGACCCAGTTGAAAGAAGAAAAGCAGCGTCTTCGACATGGAGCCACATGCCCACCGACTGGACATAGAGACGAAGAAATGTGACGTCGTAAAGGACGATTGAAGCGGCGGAAATCAACGCATTCTCGTCATCATCGAAGGAGAACCCAAAGGCGCTTCCGCCCCTGACCAGCGTCGTCAAAAACTCAATAGTACACTCGCCGGTAATGGCCCCAACTGAGAGATCCCAGTTGCATAGGTACGTTGGCTCAGCAGGGGGGAGCCCAAAGAGTCGGTGCCCATAGACATGGATGCCATCTATGAACAGTTGTGTGTTGGAGCCAGTGGTACTCTTTGGTGTGTCTAGGCCCGAAGAATCTGAACTGCCCAGCGACAGTTGGAGAGGTGCCACCTCCAAGTCCATTTCCATGTAGTAATTTGTGAACCGCAAATCAGCCCCGAAAGAAGCTGTGTCAATCAGGACGTGACGAGTTGAAGAATACAGATTCGCCGGTATCAGAATCTTTGGCTCGTCGCACTTGATGCTTAAGATGACATCCAAATCGCTCGACTTTTTATGGGGCGGCTTGTTTGTAGGCTCAGCATCGGGGTTCTGATCCTTCAAGCGTAGCATATCCTGATGCTCGTCCAAGGTCTTGAAGTGAACATCCTCGCCAAAGTAATTGTCTTTGATCTTCATAGCGTAGCGCACAGTAAAGCCGTAGACACGCGCAAATAGAGATTTCGTACCGAAGTTCAACAAGAGTGTATCTGTATTTGCTGGCGAGGTTATCGTATGGTAGTGATAAGCGCCATCAACCACCATATTGTCCAGCCGTCCAACTTCCTTGGTGTCCAGGAATGACGCTTGGGTATTCCATGGGGGAACATGAAGGGAAACAGAAGCGGTACTAGCAGTGATGTTGAAAGGAATGGCGTTCTTGTTCGGTCTATAGCTGTCAATCGGGATAGTCAATTTGGACTGAAGCAATGGGCTGGCAACGATGAAGTACGTGTTATCGTCTAGGTCGGTAGGGTTGTTGACAATGTTTGCGTCGTTGAGGTTTAGATACAGTCGGAGGTTTTGCATGTGCAGCTCAACATGGTACTTGAAGGGGGTAAAGACAAGATATTCAGGCGGCGGCCCGCTTGCCCAGTCACCAACTAAATCAGTCAGGAGGAAGACGTGGTCACGCAAGATGAAGAGGTCCAGATCACTGCTGATGATTTTGAAACGCCATTCACGAAGCGCGTTCCAGCCCAACGGAGTAGAAAGATCGCAAGATATCTGTTGCTTCCCTGATTTCCAAAGCAGTTCATGGTTAATGCTGCTCGAGATTTCAGTGCTCGGCAACTCCAGGATGAGCTGGTTTGAAAACCCTGCCGCGCCAGCTACCATATCCATGGTATACGACATAGTCGCGTCTTTGGCAACTTTGATATCAAGCCATCCATACGGTCGTTGATGGATGGTGGCAGGCTGCTCTGCCTTCTTGGGCCGACCGCGGTGCTTACGTGTCTGAGGTTCGGGTGGTGGCTTAGCGGCAGGCTCTTTGTCCTTCCATTTCCAATTTTTGGACTCCTCCCGTACGGGAACTCGGAGAGTGACTGTGTCTTCGAACTCAACATAAAAGTTAAACTTGGTGGGAACACGATACGCGCCCACAGGCAATCGTGTTGCCGGAGTTGCATCTTTGCAAAGATTCGGAACAAAAGTGCGTTGGAGATCTGCTCGTTGTCTGTCCGCCCATGGACCATAGTTGATGGAACCCCCTTTGACCGAGAGTTGTATAGACCATGCTGGCGGCTCCTCGCCATTAATGTTTTGTGAGGGCGCTGTCGCTTTTTCGCCTGGGATAGTGTGAGCACGCCGGACTTTGCCTACAACATCCCACAGGATGGTGAGCGTCGCTTCGGGGCTGTCTAAGATGGTCGATACCGCTGCGTATTCCGACAAGGCCCAGCCCGGTCTCATACCGCCAATATCGTGGGTCTTGCTATCGAGGTATCGCGACAGCCCTTGCCAGTTGTTTGGATTTGAGGTTGATATATGGCTAGCTGTGCTTCTGATATCCCTCTCTGCATCCAAAGGGAGGGATTCTACAGACCTATTTCGCCGCAAAGGCACGATGCGACGAAGCCGGTGAAGACCTCCCATCAACCTGCGCACTTGCTGTTTGAGGAAGGGCCTATGATGAACAGAGATGGGATCATGTGTTGTCGTCTGCTTGTCTCGAGTGGCCCTATCTGCCTGGTCCTCCTTATAATCCAAGTTTTCCTTCATTTCGATCACGGGGTGATTGAACTTGAAACGGAAGATTTGACGGTACGGATCTGGGGTTGCTGTTGCTGAAGCATCAACTTCCCCTTCCATGGACTCAGTCTTGACAATCAAGATGGCTTTCGTGTTTTCGTTTCCCATCACCATAGCTGCTTTAGTGCACTCCAACTGCAATGGTAGCATCTGCAAGAACAAAGGGAGCTCATGCGAGAATTGTCCGTCCCGCTCATGATCCTCCTCGTCCTCAGAATCGAAAGAAGCCATCGTGGACGCGCGCCCAGTACTGCTATCCCGGATTGGTCGCCCATTTCTGTATTGGGTGGCGTTCGATCTCTGCGTCTGCTCCGACTTTCTCAGCGTCTCACGCTTGTTGGGCCGGCGCTTTCGTGTGTTGCCCGACTCATGGGTTCCTGCACCGTCACCTGCCCCGGCAGGCTCTGTCCCCGAAGCAGCCGGGACCGCATCCTCCTGTAGATCCGTCAAGCCAGACAGAATCGAATCATAAGCCGGACTACGATTGTAGATGAACCATTCTAGGCCAGACAGACAAACACTGATGCGGCAAGGAAGTTTGGGTGTCGGCAGCTGTTCAGTGATGGGATCGGCGTCGGAACCGCTATCGGTCTCGTTATGCCCTCGTGCGTCCTTCGCCGAGATCTTGACGCCCCGTACTCTGCGCAGCCAGTATTTCCATGTTATGTAACCATTCTGGACCAGTATTGTTTCGTTTGCGCCGTGGTACCGAAGGCCAGTAAAGAACACGCGACCGCCGAGTAGAGAGATCTGGAGAGCTTGGATGTCGATGTAGACTTTGTACTGATGCCATGTCCATGTCCGCAATGCCCACGACACCAGAGACGCAAAGACTCTGTTAAAATAAAGGAGGGAGAATATTGATAATGCGCCGCATATGATGAGAGATCCCAAGAACAGGCTGTGAAGTTGGTCCGGCCAGGATTAGCAACAAGCGTAACGCATAACTGTCTGTCCGGCCTGGAGTCACTCACCCATTGAACCCCCCTTGGTCGTCAAAGAAGTTGTTTCGGATGGCCATTGTGTTTGAATATCAAGTCGCCAGACGTAGAGAAGTACTTCTCCGGCCAACATTCAACGTGGATTGGACAGTTTCCGTATGCGCCGTGTATTCATGCCACTCTTCATGGTGCCGCTTGAAAGCAAATCGAAAGAAGGCAAGATGTTGCGAAGAGGTCGACGTCGCCGCACGTCAACTAAAGAAAAGAGAGCGCAGGAGCAAGCGACGACATGTCAAAGTTCACCAACCTTAAGATAGTGGGAGCTGTCACAGGTTGACAATCGCAAGTGGTGGTACGTGGTACCTGCCTTGCTAGGATGGCGGACATAGAATTGCAGGTCGCTCCCAATTCCAACCTGAAGTCAATTTTAGGGGCGCGCTCTTGGAATTGGATAGAGCGACTGGAGCTGTGTACTTACTGCATAATAGTACACTATCTCTTAAGAGCGAGACGAACCTTGATGGGTAGGGGGGTTTGTCTGATTCCCGTCGAGTATAGACACTGTATGGATTATCTAACTCACCCACTTTGTCCTGTCTTTAGAGATCGGCAAGACAGTGCAGAACTTAGTATGCACAGTTGTTTCAAAACCCAGACCCCGTCGGTACTCTGGCATTCCAAGTTACGGTTCCCAACGGCAATGGGGTGCCAAATACCCTAGCCGCCTGGGCTACAGGGCAGCGGCGGCCTTAGTACCTAGCGTAGGTAGCCCAGGTGTGTACATGTTGTAGATGCCCGCCCACAGCCCAGCGTCATGCATGGCCTGCGGGCTCCTCCGACCGTCATCGTCACCTCCCCTCCCGATTGCCCAGACCACGAGACGCCGGGCCAACTACGACCTCCATCCCACCCAGATACCTATCTTTACGTCGGTGACATCGCGATCCCATTACCACCGTTAGGCTGCACCTTTTCCAGGTGCAATACCAGTACTTCTTCGCTCCACCATGCCGGCGCAACATGCCATAGGTTGAACGGCTTTTACTCTACTTGCGATCAATAAGGCGTTGCCGCGCAGCTTTCGGGCCCCAAGTTCCGTCCAGATACCTCGTTGCCAGGATCCCGAGACAGAAAACATGGGAGGCACCGGCCAAAAGCTCGCCGATGTGGCAACCATAGTCGGAGGCGTCGCGTCTATTGTCGCGACTCTGCTCTCCATGGTGTATGTCTACCCTACAGATCCGCATCGTGTCGCAGCTTCAACCTGAAATATCATGCTGACCAAGCTCTGTAACAGGTCAATATGGCTCCAAACGTGAGTTGCCCACCCATCGCCCGTGTCGCGAACGTCTTGCTCATCCAAGTTCGGCCATTGATATTCAGCAGTAAAAACTATCGCAAGCCGCTTTTGCAACGTTATGTTGTACGGATCCTCCTCATGTGAGTTTACATGTTATCACCCTGTGGGACTGCTCTGTGGGCGGAATTCCTGATCATTCTCCATCTTCAGGGTTCCAATATACTCGATCGCCTCATGGACTAGCATGGTTTCACGGACCGCAGCAGCCTTTGTCGACCCCATCAGAGACATATACGAGGCTTTCACCATCTACACATTCTTCCAGCTGTTAATCAACTACTTGGGCGGAGAACGAGCCCTCATTATCATGACCCATGGTCGCGAGCCGATCCATCATCTCTGGCCGATGAACCACGTCCTCCCTCAAGTTGATATTTCCGATCCGCATACCTTCCTCGCCATAAAGCGGGGCATCTTGCAATATGCATGGATGAAGCCAGTTTTGGCCTTAGCGGCTGTTATCATGAAAGCAACTGGGAGCTACCATGAGGGAGACATCAAACTTAACTCGGGCTATTTTTGGAGCGGCATTATCTACAACATCAGCGTCACAGTCAGCTTGTACTGTTTGGGCTTGTTCTGGGTATGCATGAACAACGACCTAAAGCCTTTCCGACCAATGCCCAAGTTCCTGTGTGTAAAGGCCATTATCTTTGCATCTTATTGGCAAGGCTTTGCCCTTGGAATTCTGGTGTTTCTTGGGGCTTTCCCGAATGTCGAAGGATACACACAAGACGGCCTTGCGGCAGCCATTCAGGACTTCCTCATCTGTCTCGAGATGCCAGCCTTTGCCATTGCTCACTGGTATGCCTTCTCTTGGCACGACTTTGCCGACAGCAGAGTGTCTGCCGCAAGAATGCCGGTCAAGTATGCGATGAGGGACGCCTTCGGGATTCGCGACTTGATCCAGGACTCCAAAGAAACTTTTACGGGTGACAAGTACGGTTACCGTGTCTTTGACTCGGGCGACAAGATCATGGCACATGAGCAGTCGCGGTCGAGACTGGCCAGACTTAAGGAAGGCATGCGATATGAGCGAGGAGGCAAGGGCAAATATTGGATACCAAGACCCGACGAAATCACTCAGAACACTCCGCTGTTGGGTGCAAACGGCGGCCCGAGCAGGAGGAGCAATTCGTCCTCTCCGCACCACGATGATGCTGACGAGGTTATACTTGATCCAGAGGAAGAACAACTCTACGCAGGAGCTAGGAAACTCGAGTTTGGTGACTGGAATGTAAGGAACTGCTTCGTCGCTACATGGCACAATTAACATTGTCTGACTTTGTTTCTAGTATCCCGTCATTACAGCCAACGAGCCGTGGAAAGATCGTTATCGATCACCTCATCCTAGTCTCTTCCAAAACACTCCCACTGGGAGCTTCTACAATCGATCATCCTCAAGTAGAAGCTCAGTGCCCACGCTTAACCCCAGGGATCCTCTCGAAAGGCGCAAGAAGGAGGCACCAGAAGGCCCTGAAGCCCTTCCCAACGACAAGAAGGGCAAAAAGAAGGCAGACCCAAATGGTCAACGGGCCACGAACTCTACCCCAGACAAGGGCATGGATCCCTTGGAGATCGCATATGGCCCCATGGTGGGCACGACCTCTAAACTTACAGAAGACGATTTCAGAGTCGACGATGTCAGCCCTCATCATCCGCATGGCACATCGCCCGGGCATGACACCTCACATGATCTTGAGGATGACGGAAAAGGTACCCCGGTCACGGAAGTGTCTAACCACTGGGGTCATGCTACGGATACCGAAGGGGAAGAAGAGAGAAGCCCCCACTTTACTGTTGGTGGTGAAGAGGAGTTTCAGAACGTGTGGGGAAGGTGACATTATCTTGCTTGAGGCGCTGTTTTTGCTTTTGAGTTTTCTCCTTTGCTTTTTCGAGCTTCCGTGTTGCAGGAATTATTTCGGTGTCGAAGAGACCGTGGTATGGATGCATACACTACGGTTACAGGTTCAATTAAGTTGTGCGGGCGTCGGACTGGCGTTGGCACAGGGCCTATTGTTTGTTTCGGTATAGCAAACCTGCAAGTAGAGCATTCGTAGACATTATCTTCATCTAAGCACACATATGGTACTCTTGTCTTGGTGTTGCGGTGTTGACAACAAATTGACCTACCCTGTAGACATAAGTTTCTACCGCCGGTCTTTCTTTGCTTGCCCCTAGAGGAGCCCTGTTTGCTTTCTGGAGTGTCAAACGGTAAATGAGAAAAGCCAATAGCATTTGATATCTTTGCCCAGTGAAACGGTATAGTGTCCAAGACGTTTGGGAATAAACGATATACTCACGATACTTAACTCTGCTCAGTTTGGAGTCGTACCTGTTCCACTACCGATACCATGCCTCGAGCACACTCAACCGACGCCTCGAAGTGAAACGATGATCGTCAGTCTCATTGCGGGGTATAGTGACCACTATCTTTGGGATCGTATTTGGCCACTGGGAACAAGCTGACAGGAGCTCAACTTAAGCTCTGGCCACATTCATCATTGTGTAACATGAGATCTCTAAATGTATAGCCTATTACCTATTCGAACTCGCCGAGGAAGCAACAGAACGGCGTCGTGCTTGATGTTTACCGTATGGCCGGAACTACCCGATGGTAAAGCAAAATATACGTAAGTAGATAGACCAGACGTTTACCCATGTTCAAGACCTATTCGACACTTGAAGCTATCCATTTTTCGGGGCGGCAAGGGACCGTTCCATTTGGACACACCTACTGTAGTGCTAGAACTCGCAAATTCCATCTTCGCAGCGGTACTAAATCCACTTCACTGCCTCCAGATCCCCATTAGAGTTATGTACTGTGTAGTACACCACCGATAATAAAACACGAGGGCGGAACACAGGGGGGTAAGAACCCCGGATCCGTCGAGGTACCTAGAGTGTTGACAAGCTGTTGAGCTGGTCCGGCCGGTTTACATAGTTGTATAGCTGGATGCCAGCTTATAAGAAACAACCGTGGGCCGTTTTTAGGCGGCAGATGCAGCGTTTGTCTCTCGGGACTTGCCCGGTTGAAATTCATTAAACAATTGAACTACGATGATGATGTCTCCATCCAGCTTCCTTGTGTGTTCCTGCTCGGTTGCCACGGCGAGGATCTGAGGTGAGATTACCTCTAGGCACCTCAGTGTTGCCGCCGGGAGTTGTTGAAACCTGGAACCGCCTCATGAACCTGGCTTGAGCGGGCCAAAGCTCCGACCTCCCAGAGCAGCGGAGGTCAGTAACAGCTCGGGCAGATACCTGCCAGCTTCACTAAAACACAGCATGATGTCCCGGGGCATTGGGCGGTAGCCGGAGCTTCAGATTGCTAGCTCATCAAGCGATGAATTTTCGTATTGCCCCACAAGAACTAATTCCTCAAAGTAGCGGGTGCTTCAAAGCGACGAGCTTGCAAGATAAGCTAAACCGAAAAAGAGACACATAGGTAGTGTTCGGTCAGAAGAGTCACGATGAGATGTCATGAAGTCAATGAATGCTGCTCGGTGGTGAAGTGGTTCGGTGCAGTGGCGGCGTGGTGCATTCAGATGGAGGTTCAGGATCATCATGGACATTCACTGGCCGACTCCGAATTGGGGGGAGGGGCAAAACAGGGCTTGACCCTCGTTAGGTGGTGAAGTCAGACATCAGGCGGTGCCGCGCACAAGAGGCCAGATACTGACCAATCAAACAGCGGTCTGCCGTCACTCTGCCCCACTAATGCTAACCCCTCCTTCCCCTCCCCTCGCCAATAGGTTTTTGCAGTTTGCCCTCCCCGCCCACCACCAGTCCACGGCCAGTCCCACAAGTGCAATTTGGCTACACCCAGGATACAAGGTGGCCGCCCTTCGACCCTCTTTTCCGACCTGCCTTCACTGTTTTTGGTTTGCTCGTCGGGGGCTGATACCTCTACTGAGCACTAGCATTTTTGCCAAGTTGGACTGTTTTTCCCGGGATCTTGCTTTGTCAGTTCTCGGCTGGTTCGCTTGCATTTGAGTGAGGAAAAAAAATCTCGTTCTCTCGAGACTTCTTCCTTTCCACACCACGTCAAACACCCATTTTAGCAGTGTGTGTCAGACAATACCGCCAAAATGGTCAAGTAAGTCCTCTTTCTTTGACCAAGACCGCCGTCTACATGGTCGCCTTTACTGCATCCACATCGTCGTCGCCGTCTTCGACCATGTCGTCGTCGCCGTCGTCGTCGTCGATGGTTGCAAACCTCTTCGACTTCCTCTACCCCGCCCGGAGATAAGGACATCAAGTCCGCAAACATCAATAACAACAACAACATGCTGACATTGGGCCTTTGAATAGCTTCACGATTGACGAGATCCGTGCCTTGATGGACAAGCCCACTAACGTGCGCAACATGTCCGTCATTGCGCACGTTGATCACGGCAAGTCCACTTTGACCGACTCTCTCCTCGCCAAGGCCGGTATCATTTCCTCCGGCAAGGCTGGTGAGGCTCGCGCCACGGATACTCGTGCCGACGAGCAGGAGCGTGGTATCACCATCAAGTCTACTGCCATCTCCCTCTACGGCACCCTCCCCGATGAGGAGGACCTCAAGGACATCGTTGGCCAGAAGACTAACGGTACGCTATACCTTTCCCACAGACACTGGTAGGCCAGGAACTAAGACATCACAGGCAAGGATTTCTTGATCAACTTGATCGACTCCCCCGGTCACGTTGATTTCTCTTCCGAAGTCACTGCTGCCCTCCGTGTCACCGATGGTGCTCTCGTTGTCGTCGACACCGTCGAGGGTGTCTGCGTCCAGACCGAGACCGTCCTTCGTCAGGCTCTCGGTGAGCGCATCAAGCCCGTTGTTGTCATCAACAAGGTCGATCGTGCTCTTCTCGAGCTCCAGGTCTCCAAGGAGGACCTCTACCAGTCCTTCTCTCGTACCATCGAGTCCGTTAACGTCGTCATCTCTACCTACTTCGACAAGACCCTCGGTGACGTCCAGGTCTACCCCGACCGCGGTACCGTTGCCTTCGGTTCCGGTCTCCACGGCTGGGCCTTCACCATCCGCCAGTTCGCCACCCGCTACGCCAAGAAGTTCGGTGTCGACCGCAACAAGATGATGGAGCGTCTCTGGGGCGACAACTACTTCAACCCCAAGACCAAGAAGTGGACCAAGAACGGCACCTATGAGGGCAAGGAGCTCGAGCGTGCCTTCAACCAGTTCATTCTCGACCCCATCTTCAAGATCTTCTCCGCTGTCATGAACTTCAAGAAGGACGAGGTTGCCGCTCTCCTCGAGAAGCTCAACCTTAAGCTCGCTACTGACGACAGAGAGAAGGAGGGCAAGCAGCTCCTCAAGGCCGTCATGAAGGCCTTCCTTCCCGCTGCTGACTGCTTGTTGGAGATGATGATCCTCCACCTTCCTTCCCCCGTCACCGCCCAGGCTTACCGTGCCGAGACTCTCTACGAGGGTCCCCAGGACGACGAGGCCGCCATGGCCATCAAGACCTGCGACCCCAAGGGTCCTCTCATGCTCTACGTCTCCAAGATGGTTCCCACTTCCGATAAGGGTCGTTTCTACGCCTTCGGTCGTGTCTTCGCCGGTACCGTCCGCTCCGGTCTCAAGGTCCGTATCCAGGGCCCCAACTACACCCCCGGCAAGAAGGAGGATCTCTTCATCAAGGCCATTCAGCGTACCGTCCTCATGATGGGTGGCAAGGTCGAGCCCATCGACGACATGCCCGCTGGTAACATTGTTGGTCTCGTCGGTATCGACCAGTTCCTTCTCAAGTCTGGTACCCTTACCACCTCCGAGACTGCCCACAACATGAAGGTCATGAAGTTCTCCGTCTCCCCCGTCGTCCAGCGTTCCGTCCAGGTCAAGAACGCCCAGGATCTTCCCAAGCTTGTCGAGGGTCTCAAGCGTCTCTCCAAGTCCGATCCTTGCGTCCTTACCTTCTCCAACGAGTCTGGTGAGCACGTCGTTGCTGGTGCTGGTGAGCTCCATCTTGAGATTTGCTTGAACGATCTTGAGAACGACCACGCCGGTGTCCCTCTTACCATCTCCGACCCCGTCGTCCAGTACCGTGAGACCGTCGCTGGCAAGTCCTCCATGACTGCCCTCTCCAAGTCTCCCAACAAGCACAACCGTCTCTACATGGTTGCCGAGCCCCTTGAGGAGGACCTCTGCCTTGCCATCGAGGCCGGCAAGATCACCCCCCGTGACGATTTCAAGGCCCGTGCCCGTATCCTCGCTGATGACTTCGGCTGGGACGTCACTGATGCCCGTAAGATCTGGGCTTTCGGCCCCGACACCAACGGTGCCAACTTGCTCGTCGATCAGACCAAGGCCGTTCAGTACCTCAACGAAATCAAGGATTCCGTTGTCTCCGGTTTCCAGTGGGCCACCCGTGAGGGTCCCATCGGTGAGGAGCCCATGCGCTCCATCCGCTTCAACATCCTTGATGTTACCCTCCACGCTGATGCTATTCACCGTGGTGGCGGTCAGATCATCCCTACTGCTCGTCGCGTTCTTTACGCTGCTACCCTTCTTGCCGAGCCCTCGCTCCTCGAGCCCGTGTTCTTGGTCGAGATTCAGGTTCCCGAGCAGGCCATGGGTGGTGTCTACGGTGTCCTCACCCGCCGTCGTGGTCACGTCTTCGGCGAGGAGCAGCGCCCCGGCACTCCCCTCTTCACCATCAAGGCCTACCTCCCCGTCATGGAGTCTTTCGGCTTCAACGGCGATCTTCGTGCCGCTACCTCCGGCCAGGCTTTCCCCCAGTCCGTCTTCGATCACTGGGAGCGTCTCCCCGGTGGCTCTCCTCTCGACTCCACCTCCAAGGTCGGTCAGATCGTCCAGGAGATGCGCAAGCGCAAGGGTCTCAAGGTCGAGGTTCCCGGCTACGAGAACGTAAGTTTCACTTTGCTCTATGATGACGGGTAATATGTTGCTAACAAAGCTGTACAGTACTACGACAAGCTCTAAGTCACGTCTACCCAAGGCGTATGGCACCGTTCTCAGTGCTCTTGCCCAGATTAAGGCTGGAGCAGTTCGATATTTACTGAGATTTGACCTTTGAGGCGTCGGGAAGGAGGGACGAGATACCGAGGAATTTTTTGGTAGATTCCTTCCTTTAGCATATTTGGCTTGTCATGTAGTCACGAAAAAATGAATTTCCTTGCGATGACCAAATAACTAGACCCAAAGCTGCTTACGTTGTGCTGTGTTACAAGTTTTGACAGAGGTTTTGGTTGCGTCCTTGCATATCTCGAGTTTCCGCGAGGATTTATCAGTTTACGGCATCATGTGAATTCGAAATTCGAATATGGGAGATAAAGCAGCTCCTGTTTGCTCTATTCGTTCAATGTCCAATTTTGCCGTTTTGAAACTTCCATGTGACACGATCTGTCGCTGCAGCCACGCATGGTCACTGCGGGGCTTGCGCGCTAAATTGCTTCGAAGGTCCCATGGTCGAGCGCGACGCGCTGAGATGAGTTGCGCTGCGCTGCGACTTATTGTTTTAGCTCGCCTATCAACTGAACCAGGGTTCCTTCCATTCCCGAACCCCCCTCCCCCCCCCCCCACCCCCCCAAAAAAAAAAAGTTGCGACGCAGCATAACCGTAAGACGACGATACCAGCATTCCTTGACCTGGGGGACTACACGCCATCTTCTTGGCGTCTTCAATATTCGATACCTCTACTCACTGCCATATCTCTATGGCTGCGTCTATTATTTGATATACCCATCAGAGCAAAATGCTCTTCCCCGAAGAAGACGAGGTGCACCTGAAAAGGTGGATCGTGAAGCGGCTAGAAAATACGTCAGTGACCCTAGCACCCCGTCCTCTACACACCTAGATGTAGTCCCTCATAGGCCTTCATAGACCACAGCTAATCATCTCCCGATAATATAGATCAGATGCCGACGCCGATGTTCTGGCCGACTACGTCCTTGCCCTCTTGCGCACCAACGGCGAGGTTGAAGAAGTCCGCAGACTTTGCGAAACCGAAATCCCAGATTTCCTCAAAGAGGGTAAGAGAACGGTCACCCACGGACCGGGTAACGAAGAGGCGAAACTAACACGAGTGCGTGTGACCAACAAGATTCTTCGGTATTCGTCCGCGATGTTTTTCAGGCCATCGCCTACAAATCGTACCTGCCCGACGCCCCTTCCGTCCCGAAGCCCGCCCCTCCTCTGCCTGCCTTTGCCGCCCCTCCCGTCGCTTTTCCCACTATCCAACCGCCCGGATTATCATACGACGACGCGCCAGGCCATCTCCCTCAGTTCCCTTCGTACACCGGTCAATCGCGAAAACGGTCCTTCGACGGACGAGATGAGACGGATGGAAGAGATGGCCAATATGGGGGCAGGGCACTAAAGCAACCTCGCCGGGGAGCCGGATTTGGCCCTGGTGGCCGCGGAGGCAGGCCAGACGCTGGGAATGGCTACCTCCCCGCGTATCCGCCCTATCCCGAGAACGGTCAGTTGCCCCCGGGCTTCCTGACGGGCATGTCCGAGACGCTGGCAGCGTTGCAACAACAAATGGGATTGTCTGCGCCCCCTGGTTATCCGGCCCCAGCTCAAGGTCAGAGAAGGCGAGCACGGTGCCGTGACTACGAGACAAAGGGATACTGTTCACGCGGTAACACTTGCCTGTTCGAGCACGGGGACGACTCTATTTACGTTCCTCCTCCCAGCACCTCGTTCGGTACACAATATGCGGCTCAACCGAATCCAATCGAGGAATACGATCCCACCAACCCTGGCATCTTCACCTTGCCACCCAACCTCCCCCCTCATCAGTCTATTCATCAGGATGGGGTGCATCCTTCCAGAAGCAGAGGAGGCAGACAACAGGGGCCGAAACGTCGCCCGAAAGCGCCCTTTTCTGCCGACGGCCCCGTATTTGACCGCACCAAGTCAACCATCGTGGTGGAAAACATTCCAGAGGAGAACTTCGACGAGGAGCAGGTTCGCAGATTTTTCTCCCAATTTGGAAACATCCTGGAGGTCTCCATGCAGCCTTACAAGCGGCTGGCCATTGTCAAGTATGATAATTGGGCATCGGCGAATGCGGCTTACAAGTCACCAAAGGTGGTTTTCGACAACCGGTTCGTCAAGATCTTCTGGTACAAGGAAGAAGACTCTTGTCTACCACCTTCTGTACCTCTAGGTGGAAGTTCCGAGAAGCATGGTGAGGCAGGCGAAGACGATTACTCAGCGGCTGTGCCCGAGATAGACATGGAGGAGTTTCTACGAAAACAAGAAGAGGCACAAAAGGCCCACGAGGAAAAGTTGCGAAAGCTGGAGGAAGTGGAACGCCAACGTGAGGAGCTTGAGAAGCGTCAGCAGGAGCTGCTTGCTAGGCAGCGCGAAGAGAAAGCCAAGCTGGAGGCCAAGCTGAAGTCCAAGCTGGGCGGTGGGAGTCAGCAGGGCGATGGCAGTGATGATGGATCTAAACCGAAGTCCATTAGCGAGGCGCTGCGTGCCCAGCTTGCAGCTCTCGAGGCCGAGGCTAAGCAACTGGGCCTCGATCCCGACGCTATGGATACGTCTTTTTCGACGTCCTCGTGGAACGCTAGGGGCGGATACTACGGAAGGGGCGCGTTCAGAGGGGCGTATAGAGCCAGAGGCTTTGCTCCGCGAGGATACCGCGGCGCTCCATTCCACGGTGGCGCTAGGGGTAATCACCACGCTGCTTACGCAATGTACTCCTTGGACAACCGACCGAAGAAGGTCACTCTTACCGGTGTGGATTTCACCGACCCTGAGAAGGACGAGACGCTCAGGCAGTACCTCTTTGTAAGTTACCAGGACATCGATCGTTTTTTTTTTCCTGTTGCTGCGTGTGAACCTTGTGAACCTAACTGGAACGTCATTTAGGGCATTGGCGAGTTCACCAACATTCAAACCACCTCCTCAGCAACGGACATCACCTTCACAGATCGCAAGACAGCCGAGAAGTTTTTCAACGGTATTTTGCTGAACGGCAAGGAAATCCCCGGAATCGATGGTCAAATCGAAGTGGCATGGAACCCAAGCAGCGGCCCTGGCTCCAGTTCAATGGCTAGTACCCCAGGCAGCAGCAGCAGCACGGGTGCCGGCGCGACCGTTCAGAAACCCCATTCAGCGCTGTCCGCAGCGGCCATGTCCTTCGTTCCCGGTGGCGGACCACAAGCGGGTGTCGGTGGTGATGGTGATAGTGCCATGGGCGGCGCAGGAAGCGTCAGTGGTAGCGATAAGGACGTTAACATTGTGCTGGAAAGGAGCGGGAACCACAACGGTAATGGGCTTCATCATAACAACCAACATTATGAGAGCCACAAGCAGGGAGACATGGATTATGATGTTGCCGATGAGAATCAGTGGGAAATGTCCTAGATGGAGCTGGGAGTTTGGAGGCTTTTGTCAAGAAGATCGTGGGAAGATGCGGCAACGTCCATATGGGAGCTCCAAACCGTTGAAAAGAGTTTCATGAGATCAAGGTTTTGAAAGGCGATGACTAAGGTGGGCCGTTCGGTATTCGGTCTATGAGGACCAGAACACGCCCAAGAATGGGAGGCTCTCATTGTCATCAATATGAATGAGGAGCACCAACGGTTCCACCGCTAGGGGTCAAATGCCCCGGTTTAGGGCCGGTGGTGAAAGTGCGGGAACAGACTACCTCGTGCTTGCTGAGGCAGAGCGAAAGTGCGTACGTAAACAGTCAAGCACGTTGACTGGAAGTATTTTGCACACTGGTCTTAAAGACCATACTCACTCATTCCTCGCTATTTGTGTGAGTACAAGGTAAAAGAAAGCAGGCTGCATAGAAATGTAGTTCTAGGACACTATTTTCACGGGACTGTATTAATATAACCTGGCCTCGAACGAGACGTTATCTGCTCATGTTGTATGTGATCATTATAAAACTTTTGATCGATATACGGTAGGTCTCAAGCATCGACAGCTCCGTAGACACATGAAAAAGAAATTCATGGCCAGACACTAATTGACAATGAACATCCGTTGAAGACACCAATTATCGATGACTGGTCATGATTTTCCTACATACATAGGCCCTCCCTCCCCCTTCTTCTCCTCCTCACTTCCACTGAACAAAGGCTGGCATGCACCTTCGGAATACTGACTTCTGATCTGTAATCCACAAGACAGAGTTACTTCTTCCCATGAAAAATCCCGCCCTATCCCATTTCTCTACCTCTCGCTCCCCGTAGTCCCATAGCTACGCCCCGTATCCCGCGTATCCGTTCTCTCCAGGCCGCTCATATCTCCGACCTGAGCAGCCAACATAGCAGCGGACCCAGCCGAAGACCCGGCAGTAGCGGCAGGACCCGTAGTCTTTTTTGGCTTCCTAAAGCACGCAAACTCGCTCTTGCTCGCCTCCCTCAAGCGCTTCAAGACAGCCCGCATCTCAGGCAACTCAGCCTGCAGCCGCGTCCTCGCATCATTGTCCGTCCGGCTATCCAGCTCCTGGTACACGGCACTTTGGAGCTCCGAGGCGCGGTCGGTGGTGTAGTGGTTGAGCGTCTGGGCGACAAACTCGACGTCAAGCGTGGCCTGCATGAGCATGCCCAGGTCGTAGCGGGCGCGGGTCTTGAACGCCTCAAGTAGCTCGCGCGACGTTTGCTCGAGTAAGAAAGAGAGCACCTGGCTGGTTAAGGAGGCGGCCGTCGTGGAAACCTGCGTGTGCACGAGCACGAGGTCGAGCAGGGCTTCGTAGATGTAGGGCTTCACCTCGCGTGGCTTCTGGCCCGAGGGGGGAGGCCAGTCAGAGGCGGTCACGCCGGCGCGGACGATGCGACGTAAGGACTCGATCGAGGGGCGGGTGTAGGATTGGAAGAGGCGGGCGTCGATCTGACCGAGGACGTCCCGGATGGTCTTGGTTTCGTCAGTGAGCTTGACGGAGAAGGCGTTCTCGAATTGGGTGTTGAGGTTTGGGACAACTTCGGAGCGGAGAGCTTGGAGGTTGCTGAGGGTGAGAAGCATGCGGACATTCTAGGGATGGTCGTTAGCAATCTGTGCCGAGGATGGAGTATTAAGTAGGGGATTGGAACCGCTTACACTATCGCCGGCGTCAATGGTGGCGCCCCCGATTGTTGATACCCGCAGCCTAGAGGGGTTATTGACAAGAACAAAATCATTGGCATCCGTCGTCCAGTCATCGTCAGGCTTCTTGATGGGTAGCTCTGCGTTTTCTACCATGCCATGGAGGGCTTTGTAGAGCGTGGTGACATACTGACTCCGCACCATTTGTAGCAGTTTCGTCGCAGGCGGTAGGACAATATCCTCGGCCCCGGGCTTAGTCATGGCTTCGGAAACATATAGGATCTTTTGCATTCCGCTTAGCAAAGCCCTCTCAAATGCGGCAAAGCTGGCGGGCATCTTTGTCACATCCTTCCGGGTCGGTGACCTGTTCCAGTCCTCCACATATTTGATGTTCTCGGAATCTCTGTTCCATGCGGCGCAAAGAGCAGTTACACATCTCTCCCTGGTTGCGTTCACGAGACTTCTCAGTTGCTCCAACTCTGAAGGGTCACCCTTGCCGACCGGGGCAAGAGAGGCCATATCAGAAGCCCCAGATCCGACGAGAGTGAGCATTTTCGCGAGGTAGTGGGCTCCGCTGATTGAGTTGGACCACGGTGGCCAGAACGCAAACTTCTCCCAGGCTTCTCCTCGCTTCGGTGATGGGGGCGGAAGGTTATTCGGGTCGAGATTGATAGGAACTTGTAGGGTAGTGGCCTGAATGGCTGACCCTGGTGTTGTGGATGGGCTCGGTGTGTTCGGTGTTGACGGTAGAGGAGACACAAGCGCAGAGAGGTCTTCCGGTGGAGGGCCGGTAAAGAAGGACAGAACATGCTCCCTGATCATGTCAACCAGCTCGACCGTGGCCCTCTGCAGTTCCTGGGAGCTCTGCTGGGTGAGTCTGTGATGTCCCTGCGATTCCCCCTTGTAGCCAAGAGGGAGAGTTCTCTGAGTATTGCCGTCCATGAAGCCTTGTACTGTTTGCCAGAATTCAACGACTTCACCCAAAATGCCCTGAGGCGACATGAGGTTGTTCATGAAAGCCACTATCGTCTCCCAAACATCCAGAACCTCGGCCGAGTCAAAAGTCGGTGTTTTGCTTTCGATGGACTGCCTGCCGAGTCCTCTCAGATTTGACGCTATTGATTGAGGGCTAGGCTTCTCAACATTTGCTAGACGTCGTCGCAGCACTTCGATTTCGACCTTTGACTTCTCCGCTGTCGATTGAATTCTACTTTTCAGATACGCAACCCGGCTCTGTAACCATGCCCAGATGGGGTTCTCCTCAACACCTAGTTCCAGGAGAAGCGTTATCAGGTCCATATGCTGATCATGCGCCTGTCCTGGTGTTGCGTCCGACTTGGCCATTGCCTGAGGGGACACGAGTCTTCGCCACATGTCTCTCTTTAACAACTGTATCTGCTCGTCGACATCATGCCACATTCGTGCTGCAAGGAGGATCTTGTACAGTTGTGCCTCAGTGGGTTCGCCTGACCCGATATTCTGGGCGATCTGCTTCGCTTCATCAGCGAATCGTCTGGCCCTGTTATACTCCTCAACCAAACTCTCGTGATCTTTCCGTTTGATACTCTCGGCCAATGCAGCACTGATCTCGACATAGTCTTTGTAGGTATCAAGAGAGGACCCCACTGTCTTTAAGTGTTCCTCCTTCTCACGTCCGCCCAATGCGGGTCCCCAGAAATCCTCAGCCTTGGCAGAAACATCGAGCAAAGGAGCCTTTACGCCCATGACACCGTACTCACTCTCCCTGATCAGCGCATTCTTCTTTCGAGGGTCAATCGTCGGGCCCATGGAGTTTGCCAGACCACCAGCGGCACTGGTACTCTGAAAACTATTCCGACTAGCGTGCCTTGAGTGAGCCCTGGCACGGGGAGCTGCTGGCTCCGCCCCGCGATACTTCATCTCCTTGTAAACATTGTCGATTGTAGCCTTTGCCCTGACGAAACGTTCGAAATTTGACTCGACGAGAACCTTGAGGGATGCCGACTTTTGGTCGATCGACTGGTTCAACACTTCCAATCCGTTGAGTAACGCTTCAGTACTGTCAGTCGCATGGACCTGAGATAGAAAAAGCGCCGGGGAAAATGTCGTCGATGAAAGCAGAAATCGATTTCCTAGATCAAACCAATTGTATGTCAATGATGAAGTCCCCGTTTGGGCCATCGGCTGCTGCCCTCGCTATGCGCAGCGGTCGGAAGGTTAAACTCACGGAGCTTTGAGTCATCTTGCAACGGAACTCCCATCTGCTTCAGCGTCCGTACCACACTGTCGGTGGTACCCAAGGGGTCGGGTTCGTCCCTCTGAACCAGATTACCAACACCACTGGCCGAAGTTTCGGAACCGGGCACCACGCTACTCCTGTTGCTCACAACCCGCTCCAGCGCCTGGAACCTTGACTTCCTCCTGTTGGCCTTTTGCTTCGCCGTTTCATCGTCGGAAACATCACTGTTGTTGTCCTTCTCGGCCGGCCACTCGACTAGGTTGAGAGAGGAGACTTGATAAAAGTCAAGAATGGTCCGCTCTGTGTCGGCCGCCATGGTGTCCTCTTAGCTCTGACAGAAGTCCCGTCGATCCTCGGCCTTGGAAAGTCGGGCTCGCTATCCTCGCTGTTACCGTATCCGTAATTCGAAATGAATGCGTCCGTCTTACGGCCAGTTGTGTCCATGCAATTCGAGTATCGTAATTAAACCGTTATGGCGTGTGTCGAAACTTGGATCCTGACAGTTTGGTGTCGCTTCTTTCCCGCGTCCTCGGTCAGTCACCCTGACACCAGCGTGGTTGATGGGGGCACTTGGCAGTCCAGGGGTTCAGTGGAGCATTTGCGGGGGTGAGTGCTGTCCAGTCGCGTGTTTAAGAGGGCGCTCGCGAAGGGTAGGTCTTAAGCTATGGTGCTTGTGCTCACCTGTAACGCGGGCGGTCAGCAGCAAGGGAACTGAGGTGCCCCTGGGACTGGTATACTAGTACCTGGGCTACGGCCTTTGGCAGATGAACCGCGAATGTACGTATTCGCGGCACTCCAAGGCAGGCGCAGGCACATGATGTAAGGCCACAGGAACGGACAGAAAGGAGGCTGCACAAAAGGCTTCCGTCGCGTCCGGTACAGTACGTATCCTAGAGCATCATCTTTAATTACTTCCCGTTCTTGCAGGGCATGCGGGATGCTCGGGCGCGACTGATAAAGTAGCATGGATATTACACTCCATCATACGTAGAGGTATGTATACTACCTTCCATAGGTACCTAGAGGTAGGTAGGGACACACAGCTGGAGGGACAGTGGAAGATGCTACCTCTAGCAGTTTAGCACTGATTAGCAGCCCGCGTATTACTAGCTTCGGGGACGGCCCGGCGATTGTGAAGGAGATACGAAAGTCCGGCTAGCTTCCGGGTATGGGTGGGGTTGAGAAGACGTCAGGTTCGCCTTACGGCCAGGAGTGGAAGCAGCGAAGAAGTGGCAGACGGCGGAAGACAGCAGCTAGACGGGCCAAGCCTTGCATTGACTGGCGCATCCCGGCTGCGCACGGTCCAGACGAATGGGCTCAAAAACTTGTACTGGTGAACGTGGTGGGCTGGCACGCTGGTTGGCTGTGGCTTTTGTTTTGCGGGAAGACCTCCATCACTTTTTACCTCATCTACGGACTTTTCCCTGATCCTGATAATTCTCTGTACCCGTCCGCACCACTTACACTCCTTTCTTCCGTACACATCAGGGTTCTCCGGGAAGAGGTGTCATCCGCAAACCACCTCCAAAATGCTCGCCCTTAGATCAATTGCCGCTCCTGCGCAGCGCCAGGCCTTCCGCGCCGCTCCCCGCGCCGTGTCGGTTTCCTTCCAGGTATGGTGGTAGCTACCAAGCAACAGCAAGGGACGGAATATGGCGGTTCTCACTGCCCACTCCCCTGCCGTAACTGCAATCCTGTGGTTATGTTGTGTGAGACATTGAAGAACCCATCTAACTCTTATCTCTTGGTCTTACAGAACCGTTTCTACTCTTCCCGCGTTGCCCAGTTCACCGGCCAGAAGGATGCCAGCGTAAGCCATCCTGCCCCCCATTTCTCGATGGAAGAAAAACGAAGGCTTTGCGACAGCCCACGACGACGGGGTGTCGGGTTTGAAAACCACTCAGACCCGGTCGCGATATGCTACTGTTCCAGATTACGGATAGACCGCTAAAGGTTTCAACAGGGCAAGTACACTGTCTCCTTGATCGAGGGTGATGGCATTGGTCCCGAGATCGCCGTTGCCGTCAAGGACATCTTCGCTGCCGCTCAGGTTTGTTCAACACCTCCGCCTGCCTGTCTATCATATGGGCATCGACGCGCGGTCTGCTGACACTTTAAAACTAGACGCCCATTAACTGGGAGCCTATCAACGTCGACCCCATCCTCAAGGATGGCAAGACCGCTATTCCTGATGCCGCCATTGAGAGCATCAGGCGCAACAAGATTGCCCTCAAGGGTCCCCTCGCCGTATGTTGGCCTCCTGGCTTCCGAATCGCAAAGATGACAGCCTTACTGAACTCTGTCTAGACTCCCATTGGCAAGGGCCACGTTTCCCTCAACCTGACCCTCCGCAGGACCTTCAACCTTTTCGCCAACCTGCGCCCTTGCCGCTCCGTTGCCGGCTTCAAGACCCCCTACGACGGCGTTGACACCGTCCTTATCCGTGAAAACACCGAGGGCGAGTACTCTGGCATTGAGCACGTCGTTGTCGATGGTGTCGTCCAGTCCATCAAGCTCATCACCCGCGAGGCCTCCGAGCGTGTCCTCCGCTACGCTTTCGAGCAGGCCCGCGCTATCAACCGCAAGAAGGTCCGCGTTGTCCACAAGGCCACCATTATGAAGATGTCCGACGGCCTCTTCCTCAACACCGCCCGCGAGGTTGCCCAGGACTTCCCCGATATCGAGTTCGATGCCGAGCTTCTCGACAACACCTGCCTCAAAATGACCACCGACCCCACTCCCTACAACGACAAGGTTCTCGTCATGCCCAACCTTTACGGTGACATTCTCTCCGACATGTGCGCCGGTCTCATTGGTGGTCTTGGTCTCACCCCCTCCGGCAACATCGGTGATGAGTGCTCCATCTTCGAGGCCGTCCACGGCTCCGCCCCCGATATTGCTGGCAAGGGTCTTGCCAACCCCACCGCTCTCCTTCTCTCCTCCATGATGATGCTCCGTCACATGGGTCTCAACGAGTACGCCGACAAGATTGAGAAGGCTGCTTTCGACACCCTTGCTGAAGGCAAGGTTCTGACTGGTGATCTTGGTGGCAAGGCCTCCACCAAGGATTTCACTTCTGCTATTATCGACAGGCTATGATACCATAACTTTTCCTGTAATGCATTTTCTTGGCTAGTAGGGTTCCTGTAGTAGACTGTATCACAACGATCTATTCCCTTTGTTTATAAGCCCAAATAACGGTGGTTCTTTTCGTTGAGAAAGTTGAATTTTACAAAGGCGTTGAAGGTACCCATCCTAATCCTTCGATGCCCTTTTAAATTACTCTGCGTTGCGTGCTTGGCAGACTAGTTTGGGTGCCAGATCTTTGGTCACTATACTTCCTCTCCTCTGCTTGCGCATACGTCACATGTATGTTTTCTAACCCTTAGACATGAACCAATTCTTGAGGGATCACATGCGACGAGGTGATCTGTTGTTCCCGGAACTTCTCGGTGGCCGTGACTTCAGTTGAAGTTAACGCAGAGGAAGGACTTCACGATCAGCTCCGGTCTATCTGGCCTGACGTGAAGCTGTTTGTGATGGTCGTAGTGGAGTTACTTTCACCAATGCTTGCCAAGGCTTGCAGAGGTAGTTCAAGAGGCAGTTCTACCCCCTTTCTTCCTCGAGCTTCAGTCGTGAAACCAAGCGGCCGGCAGAGATATTACATCAGCCATGTCACCTCTACGGGTACCTACATGTTGATGGTCGACAAGCTGCCAATGACTGAGTAACTGGCGGTGATGGCACAACCCCTTTTACCCCCACAGTGGGCTCAACTTCCCGTCCTTACCCACGGGTGATACTTTGGTCCAATGCAGGAGCCGAGACGGGAATTGGGCCATGTCAATCAACTCTCCCCCACCCTGTTCCGAGAACGACACTGAAGTCTTTTCCTATCATCCTTCCAGGTCGAGTAATCGGATACTGAACATCCCCAAGTTCTCTCATGTTTCGAACTTTCAATGTTTATGAGAGTTTCCCTGCTCTTCATGAAAGACATCCTACACTGGTCCAGTTTCGATGAATATGCCCGATCTGAAACAAGTCCCTACTTTTTGGGAAACTGGTAGCGATATTGTTACCGATACCGGAGGACAGAGTCCCCAAGCATATGATAGAGATGACGGCACCGAGTCAGTCTAGGCTGTTCTATCAGCTTTCTAGTTCAACTTTTTCCCCTTCTAGCGCCTATGTGGGAAACCCCCTATCAATCAATGTGTTGTCGTTGTTCCTTAACGCTGTGGCCGCGATGTCCCGATGTGAGGCTCCTCCTTTCTGCGGGTGTTGTGGGGGGGCTCGATTGGTTCATCTCTTGGCTGTCGACGGACATATTTATCCTCACCAATTAAAGATCGCTGCGGATACCCTGTGCTTCCGTTTAGGGAAAGCGGTATGGAGTTATCATGACGTCGCTCCATCAAGACAGTTGGAAAACTGTCGATAACTGTGACCGGCTCTCTTCTAGGTTGTCAATATTAGGGTTACACACGGGCATCCAGGCCAAAACTTTACCATCGACGGACTGGGACAGACTGTGTAAGATGAATGCTGCTACACACTAGTTTTATGACCCCAAAATGCCCACATTGAATTACTTTGTACATATCCTTTTTATTCCCGTCCGTCACAGGTTCCAGCGATGGATGGAATAGGGGCTCGGCACCGAAGAGAGGCCGGCGCTTCTTTCCACCATGCAATCCGGAAGGTGCGGATATGACGGCAAATCATTTGAAGTTCACGAGGTAACCGCCACACTTCCTCGATATAGACGCGAAGAGCGCGATGCCCAAAGCCCATTGTCAACACATAGGTACCTAGGTATATGGCGTAATATTAATCACCCAATCCCTCTCTGCTCCGCACATCCAAAAGTTCAACGTTTACTCTCATGTTGTTACGAAATACTTTTCAAAGTTGTGCCACCATCGATTGTCAGAACATATGGCACTTTGCGGTCAACTGCCTACAGTAACGATCCTCAGCCCAACTAACGTAAACCGGCAAGTCGGATAATCGGCAACATTTCGTCTCGTGGCGGCCGCACATCACATCAGCGCATCACCGACGAACTTGTGTCTCAGAGGGGGTCTCAGAATTCCCGAGAGAATACTAGACATCTCCATGGAAACGGCTACGCAGTATACGCAAGTTACCAGTTGACATCTCGATAACGTTGGCTTCTAAGGGTGGCAACGACCGGGTAACCACACCCCTCCAGCGAACTCGAAGGTTGGCCGTTTAGGCGTAACAACCGAGTCCAACGGGGCAGTGGAAAACTTCCAGAAAATAATGGAGGTTGCCCGGAACTACACATCGGATTTCGGTGAGGAATCGTGTTATCGTTCCAAGTGTGCCTTACGCAGACCGCGAAATGCTTTGGTTTGACGCATAGTGGTAGCTGGCGGGAACATCGGTGATTCTCATTTTGGATTGTTCGAGCGCTTGTGCATTTCTTCGCAACACCGAGTCTCTGGCTCACTGTCTCGCATCAGAACAAAGAACAAAGTGTTGGAAGTCATAGAAGCTGCAGAGTAAGCTCTGCGCCCAGACCAGCTCCAGTCGTCTGTCTCCCCAGACTGCACATTCGCAACCCCTGAGCCCCAGACCGTCTCCTCTTCGTCTGCCCCGATTCTCTACGATCTCTACTTACCGAACCCCGCTCATTGACAGCGTTGTACCCATTAACATCAGACCAAGATAAATCGCCAATGTTTTCGAAAGAAGCCCGAGATTCCAGGAATAACCTATCTTCTCTAGGAATTCCAGAAAATCCCACGTACCGACTAGCCAGGGTCTGGTACTGTGGTGACTGATGAGCTGCCGACATGTGGGCGGGGTGGGAGGCCCGGTGTCCAACGCATGACGACTGGAGCATTGAACGGTAGAACGGGATTAACGCTCAAAAGAAGCCCCGAGGCATCGGTCTGGTTTCCATGCACAGGGACCTTGGGACTTTCGAGGCGATGGGCCCCCGCGAGATATGCACCATGTAGCGTAAGAATTGCTGGGGTACCAGGGGTTTTCTACACAGTAGGTATGCTCCGGCAAGCGCAGATGCAGGACGGCGTGGGTCCACGGCTTGCTAACAAATCGCTCATTGAACCATCCAATGTCCTTGTTTAGGGCCAGGTCCTCGCCCGTGATCCCCTCTTTTTCAGGTTCTGCTTTCTGCGGCTGTCTGCTAGCAAGAAGTTGCGCCCTAAGCAGGGCCCACAAGCCCCGAATGGTTCCATGTCCAGTGACACGGCCTGTGGGACACGGTTCAAACAGCTAAGGAGCCGCGTCGAGTTGTTCTCCGTGACCCTCCTAGCTCCAACTATATAAGTGCTTCCCCCTTCTTCTACCTCCCAACTCCATCCCAAGCCAGCTTCATCTTCTACTCTTCACAGCTTCCTTCAAGTTTTCGATCTTGCAAACTTTCATACTCGTCTTGTTGCCTGACGCTGTCACACCATCTCCATACACACACATCCAAGACTTTTCCAACTCTACATCCTCCTCCAAAACAATGTCTGGTTCCAAGGTTGCCGCCCCTGCCGCTCAGGATACTCGTATCAAGAGCATCCTTGAGCAGGGTGCCGTCAAGTTCGTCATCAAGACCAAGGACCAGAAGTGGCAGTGCACCCTTCTCGACCGTGCTACTCAGTAAGCCCCCCTTGACGATTCCTGGCAGCGTTCATGGAACTTGATGTTGACTGTCACCACAGCGAGAAGAAGAAGGCTCAGAAGGAGAGCTCTTCGGCTGCGTCTATCTCCGGCTCCGAGTCCGGTAGCTCCGCCTCGAGCAGCAAATCGCACTAAGCGCTTGTTGTCAACACCTTCCTTTTTTCAACTTCATACAATGATTGCGCAAGAGCCATCGAGGTCCCTTAACAACATTATGGGCTCTCTCACATGGTTGTCGGTCAGCACATGTTTCTTTCCAGAGCACTTGGAGAGCGGCTTATGCAGTCGATCATGGAAGACTGAGAGCGGGCGAACGCGGCTTATCACCAGACGTCGTACGCACCATCCAACACATCGAACATGGAACTGCGGTCGGATATTCCATGTTTCGCGCGACACACGATGATTGCCCACCGGTATCTGCAAAAACACGCTGGATGATTAGGTGTCTTTTGGCAGTCAAACACAGCATCTCTGGACTCTGTTTTTGCGCCGAGGATGAGGAGATCTCACGCTCGCCTATCTTCTGGCTTTTGTGCTTTCACATCTATCTGGCTTCATATTTGGGATGTTACAGCACTTTGGAGCGAACAAAAGGCGGTCCTTGTACATGGGTTGGCGTTATAAGCTTGTGGTTTTGGTTTTCATATGATACCTTTTTTTGTTTATTTCTTTTTCTCTGCACTGTACGTTACCTTCTTGGCAAGAGTGGGCAGAAATGAGATGGTGTTCGGCATGAAGCATGGTCTCACGGTTTTGCAACCTGCAAGACAAATGTTATGACGCCTCCTTTGCGATACGACACGAAACAAGCCAAGCATTGGCTGTATACTTAACGTTCTTATGCTACACCAGAGATCTTTAGGGCTTTTCTTTTTCATCTTGCAGAACTTGCAAGCCATGTATGACATGGGACAAGGAAGCGGTTCGACTTTGTCTTTCCGATGCCGAGCCTTCGCTATTGCACAACACATCGATATTCACTGAAAAGCTGAACAACGTGTCCCAGTGCGTTACGCTCAGTTTAACACGTTACCATTCAAGCCGAAGCAACAACACGAAAGCAGGTAGAGTTTCCGTGGATTTCACAAAAGCGGGGACTTTCTGATGAGTGTTGATTGGTGATTAGCTTAACAAACCTGCTGTGAATTTCGGGGGATGGATGTGATGGCGACTTGAGCGGATCTCAAGTGTGGTCTATCCGCTTGTTCCGACCACCCAAGTTATGCCATTTCACCATGCCGGTGCCGAACCCCCGACTATTCTACACTAGTATAGAGGTGTACCAGAAAGGGAAATCAAGTTGTGTGCGCGGTGAACTCGAGTTCCGATTTCCCGCTCCGGTTTTTGTCGGATCTTGATCTCCACCATCGAATTTGCGGTAGCAATGCTACGGATCTAGTCGACTGCATGGCGCTAGCTATTCGTCGGGGACCCATGGGAGATGGATCCTCAATGCATATGGTTTAATAAAAAGCTTATCTCATGGTCGGGACTCCGCTGTGATGATGTTAATGATTCAGGCAAGAAGAGTGGAACCACTATCACAACAGTAACTGTGAAGGTTGTCACTCCGGAAATCATGGACAAACCTAGAGGTACCAAGAAAAAAAACCATATGGTGGAAAACACGAAACTGCTGGCAATTGTTACCTTGCCTCGCTCATGTCAGAATGATGCGCACCACGCGCAGGCCACTACAGATTTTGATGATCCAAAACTTGGCCATTCTTTTACCAGATAACTTGGTTCTTACTGTGAACTTATGAGTATCTATCCAAGGCTTCTTCTATGACTACACGCTCTCTCAGGTTTCCGGGCAAGGGACCGTGAAGAGAAAGCATTTCCATCAACGTGACCAAAAGTGGTGATGTTCGCCAAGACTGCAGAAATAGTATAGACGGTAAAACAGGTTGTCGGTGCGCATACATAATTGACGTCCACGAGCTTGCTGTCAAACTTGGGATGAGACCTTCAACAAAACAAAACCCCTGAGTGCCGAGACTTCGGGTACGGTACACAAATATGCACCAGTTGCTTGGCTGCCGTAACGATTTGGGGTAACGATGGACGGCATAAAACGATGAGGCGCCATCCATGTCTGCTTGCATCGTTTGATCTTCTTTGCAGGTCTTGTCGAACCGTATCAGATGCTTTTCCTCCATCAGAGAGCTGAACACCTTGACACCCAGTCGTTCATTTTCGTGCCACCGCTTGGCCCTTGGCTTGTGTCACTGCCACTGCTTGGCTTCGTTGAAGATTGTCAAGAGCGCCGTTGCCCACGAGGTCTGTTTCTGTTTCGGTTAAGCTCTGCTCCAACCTTCTTTTCTCGCCGGGCCTCTGCCCATAAGCAGATGAAAGACATATACTGTCTTCGACGTACATATCTTATCTCACCTGAAGTACACAGCAGAGGAGGCTTGGCACCTTACATTAGAAGAGTCCACTGCGAGGAGTTATCATCACATGATAGCCATGTGCCTGGAGGGATCTCCAAAGGCCTAGTCTAAATGACAAACAGTTCTTGGCTGTGCTGACCGATGGGACGCTAGGAACGTAATGTACAAGCGTTCACTTTCGTCTCTGGCGATACAATTGTCCCCGCAAATCTGTAGAATTACACACCATTACTTTGGCATCCTTTTGGACTCCGTCCCTGTGTGCATGCATCTATCCTTTGCTTCCCCTCCGCCAGTCTTCTCAGCGCTGAACATCACCAACAACGAACTGTCTCGCTCCCTAGGTAGCACGTGGTTTCCCGGCGCTAAAGGGCCACAAGGCTCCGTCTATCGGATCCGGCGGTCGGCGTAGCATTCCATCTGGATTCTTAGAAACGCTTTTGGGCGATGAGACTGAACTGTAGCTTGATAATCTTATCCCGTCCTTTGTTTTGTGTACTTGTACAAAGAATATTTGACTAGTGCGGACAATTTCTATGCAGTACGTGGGAATTTGGGCCCGAAAATCCCGTGCGGCAACAATCAGCTGGTTAGGTAGGTAGAGAGGTAGTATGCGCGGGGTTTCACGCCCGCAAAACCACCAACCCTCCAACCGGACGTTTCAGCGGCCGGGCTCGTAGGTAAATATACACTATAGAACTATATACATAGCGAGCTTGCGAGGACTGAAATCCTTGGGGGTATTTTACCGGCAGTGAGAATGAGATCTTATATTTGATGCAGGATGGACCCCTGTGGATCGCACAGCTGGGCAGGTAGTTAGCCAAGACTTCTTTAGCTGTGCCAGAATTTCAAGTCGAAGAGGAAATCTCTATAAAAATGGTCTTCTCATCGTTCTAGAGATGAGGCTTCTTGATAATGGCGGGAAACGCGCCGGAGGGCTGTTGTTGATGGTTGGGCGGTTGGGTTGGACTTGAGACATTCCAGCACTGTACACTAGCTCAAAGCCGCCTTCTATCCCTCCAGTCGGCACTTGATGCTGCGCTGTTCGTGAATCACTGGTTGGTTTCTGTGGGCCCGAGGCCCTTACTTGGAGAAAGATCCCACGGCCAAAATCAGGCCTTCGGTTAGAGACCGCCGCTCGTTGTGAGAGCGAAAGAATGCCTCAACTCATATCGAAACTCGAGGTGGACAGTCAGGTCAAGACGTGGTCCATATATGGATGGGGTCCGGGTTGCGGCAACATATCTGGTACACTACCTCTAGGTAACACCGCCTGCCTCCAAACAATGCACTGCCCAGGGTGGACTTTTGACGATTGATGCCCGCTGCGCTGCGAACGGGGGCGGAGACGAGATCCAGCCCTGCCCTGCCCTGGTCCCCCGCTAGAACAGAACAGGATTTCAAGGGTCAGACCGTGGGTTTCTGTATTCGATCATGATGATGACTGGACCTCAAACCCGCCGGCCAGTACCTTTCTGACTTTTCTTGATTCACCCGAGCCTTTTAACTTAACCAAGGCTTTCCCGCCATCGATCTTTCTCGTTCCTCTGTCGTCTTTCTTGTCATCCTAATCCATATCGATTCATCCGCCATCTACCGTGGCCACATCTGGAATTTGGAAGGGGCCCCCCAAGTTCTGACCCGACTTCAACATGCCGCTTCCTCTAGCGGGACAAGGTGAGATCCGTTACTTTCGTTCGCATGTCAACTCTTCGTTGCTGTTTACACCGACAACCTTGACACGCTCACGTGTTTGTAAGATGTCTATCCTTGTGCTCCGTTTCCTGTGCTCCCCCAGCTCCATTCACACCCTTGTCCACCCCCGCGAAAATGGGTGGGCATCGCTGGTGGTTGCATTACCTACCTACAAACACCCGCTGTTACTCGCCTGTTTGATTCTAACCCATCAGCGCGGGACTCGGCGAGAGAGAGCCCCTGGTGGCAAAAGCACCCATTTGGCGGCCGCGCAAGCTTTGCACCCTCGTGCGTTGTCTAGATGCTGCCTGGAACTCCATTTCGAATCAGTGATTTGATCTTTACGCCTCTCTTCATGCACCCATCGTCGGCTGCCTCCTGACCGTGCTGTGTCTTTTTTTTGTTTTTTTCGCCTCTATTTAGCCTCCAAGAATTCTTCTCCCGACGTGCCCCCAGTTCGTTGCTGAAGTTATCCATCTTCTCCGCCGACCTGCGTAAACCGGGGGAGCTTGTTCAATCACGACCTTAGACCTATTGACTTCACTTTCTCCTCCTATCGATATCTCATCATTCTCTCGCAGCACCTTCTTCAAGCCCGTTCGTGGGCCAAACCACACACTATCGTTTGAAAGGATGCCGCCTATTAACCAAGCTGCTGCTATCGCCTCAGTTGGCATCATTGCTGTATCGGTAGCCGCCGTAGCCGCAATAGCCATCTACGAGTCTCCCGAGGTGCGACGCCGAGTCAACGACCTCCGCCAACGTATCGCCCTTGCCTTCCAAGGCTGGGATGACGAGTTTGACGATTCCCGACCCCGCAACCCCAACACCCCCCGCTTCAATCGTCCCGAAGATGCACACGGATTCTACCAGTCTCGTGCCGATGTTGGCGTTGACGCCGATGAGGAGACCAAGCGAAGGCAACGGGAGGAACTCATGTACTGGAACGCCAAGCGTGCAGAGATGATGGGGGAATCCGGCCGCGAATTTGCTGCTACTACTACTACACACCGACCAACATCCTCTACTACTCGCGGCTCGAGCTTTGACGATTTCCTTAGTGAGGACACGGCAGCCGGGCCTGGGACATTTGTTTACAACACGGGCACCGATGTCAGGGGTACTGAGAATGATGCGCTTAGGCGCCGTGGAGCAGGCCGTTCTGCCGCCCCCGGTGTCCGTGGATTGACTGCCGCCATGATTCTGGATCCCTTCAGTGACGAGTTTGGTATCGAGCTAGACGAACGTATCAACATGGTCGACGAGGAAACCCGCTTGATGGCTCTTAGCCAAGACGAGATGGTATCGAATAGGTCAGACATCTATAACGCCACTCCGACAGGTCTTCAATCGCCCGTTTCCCGTACCCTTTCGCCGGAGCCCAGAGTCTCAGTCACTGCTCCACCTAATGAGGTTTTGTTCGATTTCGAGACAAGTTCACAGTCAGCAGCCGTCACTGCGTCGGAAGACAACCACGAGCGGTCCGGAGCCCCAACCCCTACCACGGTCCGCAGCACGACCGACACCCTCGAGCGCGACTTGGACGTGGATGAGTACATGACTGCTGGGCAGGATGATCGTTCTACGGCTTATGCTTCTATCCAGGAGTGGGCACAAGGCTCCTCCGGAAACCCCGGGTTTTACTCGCCATTGCCCATCACCCCGACCGAGCCCATGTCTGAAGCCGAAATGGTTAGCGCAGGGCAGCTCACGCCTGCGGACACCATGTCCCTAGCGGACTCTGGAGAGCACATTGAAAACCCCGACGCGGTCTCTTCCAGGGCTCAAGATTTTGATGACTTGAGCGACAGCGATGATGGTATCGCCACTCCTGGCAGTTGGTCTGATGTTGGCAGTGTCATTAGCGAGACTGATGAAATTGCGCATCAGCCACAACACGCTTAGATCTATCCGACTTCTGTAGCGTATCAGACGTCACAAACCCTCTGCTATTCGGAAGTTCACCATTAGGATCATTATCGGCATCTGGGCTTGGCGTTATACAGGTTATGGGTCCTATTTATGTATGGTGTCTGGGCAATCCGTTGGACCGTTCTTTGATTTTGGGTAATGTTTGTTGGACGACAATTAAGTGGAGAGGGTATTTCAAATAAGCCCTCACGAACATCAAGAACCTGCAAACTTTGAAAGACGTAGTGCAATAGTATAAACATTTTGTTGTAGCTCAACATCACTTTGATAGATGCAATACGCCGCATTTAAGACAGCCATATCCAATCAAAACACTCGTGGTTGAAATGGCTATGGGGTAATCGCCGGATGCATCGCTAGCTTGTAGATACATCGCTCTGTCCCTGCTCTCTCGCACTCGCCTGTCAGGTACTCCCCTTCGCATCATCATCATTTACACTCCCACAATACTCCCCCCACAACTCCTCCACCTCTTCCCCGAGAACACTTACCCAAAACTCTCTAGCTTCATACTCCCTCGTGCTCCTCAACGCCTCATTAAGGCGCCTTACCGTCCCCTCCCCAAAGCGGCCCTCAAGGTACTGCAAAAAGTACGCCGTGTGCTGGTACCCTTTATCCCACGGATCATCGATCTTCACGTCCCCCTGCTTCCAGTGAGGCGGGCTCAGGTCGCAGTTGAGCCGGACCCAGTCCGCGATACCCTCGATCAGTCCTCCCGGCGCGCTGCCGTGAGCGTCCCATTGGTAGCAGTGGACGAGCTCGTGCGTGAGGACGCCGGTGATTTCGGCAGGCAGGCGAGAGGGTGGCGTGGAGGGGATGCGGGCGGCGATGTAGGAGAGAGAAAAGTGGATTTCTTTGTGGTCCGGGTCGAGGTCGGTCTTTGTGTGGGTTTGGGTTTAGCTTCCAGTCACGGTCATAGTTATAATCGTCCTGTTGACTTCGGCCTGGTTGGGGGAGAACCAAAAAAATCAAAAGGAGAAGAAGGTTGAACCTAACTGAAATCGATACTACAGTAGGCACATGCATGGTTCCAACATCACACAAACGCGTAGAGGCAGAGGCAAATGATGAAACAGGGAGAAAGCAGGGCGTCTCAGTCAGAACTCAAAGAGTATCCTACCCCAGTCGTATAAGCCACGCCGCCCATGTCTCGCAAGATAACGGTTACGGACCGAGTCGGCGGACATGTCGTGTGCTTGTCTGCTGGCGACCTGTACAAGAGCCGCTGGACGTTCTTGACAGCATCGGAGAGGAGCGTGCTCGCGTTGACGGCACCGAGGAACTTGACGGCGCCGGGATGGTCGAGATCGCGGATTTCGAGACGAAGCTTGGGATGTGGAAACTTGGGTGTATCTCGATCGCGATCGTCATGTTTGTCATCCTTCCCTTGCCCTTGATGATCCAGATCCTGTTCCTCCTGAGAACCACGGGAAGGCTCTGGGGTCGATTGAACCGAAACGGCACTGGAGGTGGCAGCGGCGGCCGGTGAGGGCTCGGTAGCGATCTGCGAGCGGACGGTCATGGTGGGCATAAAAGGTAGATCACGGCCAGGGAAACAAGGGCGTGAATGTTTGGTTGTGGAGAGCACGGAGAGTTAAGGGTGCAAAATCTGTAGTGTACGTCAGTGTTTGTTTTGCTGGCTAGCCCCAGATGAACGGTGAACCGGCTCACAGGGTGTGAGATGGCCCCTGGTGGCTCGGGAGCTTCCGAGCTTCGGCCCCGCCGTGACGGGACCCGATGGTTGGGGAAGAACCTGGAGCTCCCTCGTGGGGAGCGCGGGGCAACCATGGAGGGCGCCGCTGCGACAGTGGGCGACTTGTGGTGCAAGGGGCAGTGGTACTGCGTAGATGTGTCGGGTGGGCAGGCAAAAGAGCCGGAGGGCCCCCCTGTTTTGCCGCAGATTGGGCGCGCCTGGGGAAATTGGGGAAATTTCACAAGGACCTCCCGTCCCGTTTCTGACGAATCCGGGCCACACTCGATCCCGGGCCCACCCGTGTACGATTACATAGGTACGTCTACCTGTCCATCATTTTGTCATTCGAAGGGGTCCATGGTATTCCATGCCTATCTTACAAACACAGCACCTGCCGAGATTCACCACCACGATTGCAAATCCTGGACTTCGCTTTTTGTTTTAAAAGCCATCCAACGGATTCCGTATTGTCGCAACTCGCTGCGCATAATTTTTTTCTTCTTTTTTTATAATTTTCTTTTGCTGAAAAAAGAAAAGAAAAAAAAGGACATACGAAAAAACCGCCCTTTCCTCATTGCGCCACTCGGTTCAAACGCCCTTTCCACAGTCTTGCACGACAGCTCCGGTCCGACACGCGCCCTCATTTCCGCCTGCACGAGTTGTTTACTAATAGCTCGAGCTTGTGCGATTACCCACTAAAAGTTTTCTCCTGTTTTGCTTCACCCCGACTCCCGACCTATTATCACCTCCTGCTACTACCTTCTATCGCGCGACCGATTTCGATTGCGCCAACATCGTATCCCAGGCGATTTTGACGCGCAAATCTTATAGCCGCTACCTCTTCGTCGGAGGGTTATGGCGGAACGAATTACCGATGAGCAGGTCGCCGATCTGCTCGCCATCTTACGCACCGATGCTTCTGTCGACGCCAAAGCGAACCGCATCACCACCGTGAAGACGAGCATCAAGCAACACAATGTTCCCGCCACATGCTTCGCGCCGCTTTTCGAAGCGCTCCATATTGCCTCGACCGCACAACACCCCGTTCTCGTTAATGCCGGATTCACTACGCTCAACCACCTGCTTGCTCGCTTGGCTAGGCAGGATCCCAAGTTTTTGGCCAAGGAGGCGCCGCACACACTCCCCGTCGTTGTCGACAAGCTTGGCGACCAGAAGGACAAATTCCGCCAGATCGCCGTCCAAGCATTGACAACCCTCTATAAGGTCGCGCCCGTGGACGTCGAGCGCTCTGTGCGCAACATTGCCATGGTTGGCAAGAACCCCCGGGCGAAGGAGATGAGCATGCATTGGCTATTACAGACGCACCAAGAGCAAGGCTTGCAGTTTCGAGGCTACGTTCCGACCCTGATGGAGCTTCTTGAAGACGCCGATGGATCAGTCCGTGACGTGGCTAAGACCACTGTCATTGAGCTCTTCAAAAATGCGCCCAATGCCGCCAAGTCGGATCTGAAGAGGCAGCTCAAGAACTTCAAGGTGAGGTCTGCAATCGAGCAAGTCATCGTGAAGGAGCTTAACAATCCATCCTCCTCTGTTTCCTCCCACCAAAACGATATGATGGACCTGGACGAGCCGGTGGTGCCCACACGCGCTCCCGCGCCCGCTTCCATACGAACCAACCTATCTGCCAGCGTGCCTACTCTCGCGTCTGAGCGCCCCCTTACGCCAGGATTGGATAGTCGTCCCGAGCCGGTCGAGCCACAATTTGTGAACACACAACGTGAGTTGGATGATATATTCAGAGATATGCACATGTTCTTCGACGGAAGGGAGACGGAACAGAATTGGCTGAAGCGGGAGGAGAGCATGACCAAACTGAGGAGACTTATTGCTGGGAACGCCGTCTCGGACTTCCACGACTCCTTTCTCGCTGCGCTTCGAGCGCTACTTGATGGCATCATCAAAGCGGTCACCTCCCTCAGAACCAGCTTGTCCAAAGAAGGCTGCGCTCTTGTCCAGGACATTGCGACCGCTTACGGTCCAGGTATGGATCCGATGGTGGAAATTCTCATGCAGACATTTGTCAAACTATGCGCAGCCACAAAAAAGATTGCCTCTGCGCAAGCCAATGCCACAATCAACACCATCCTTGGCAAGGTCAGCTATACCAATCGTCTTATGCAGCACATCTGGATGGCCTGTCAAGATAAGAACGTTCAGCCGAGGCTCTATGCCACTGAGTGGCTCACAACGATGCTTACCAAAATGGCTCATCACAAAAACCATGTCGAACACACTGGCGGCCTAGATCTGATTGAGAAATGCATCAAGAAGGGCCTGGCCGATGCAAACCCTGGCGTCAGAGAAAAGATGCGAGCAACGTATTGGACTTTCTCTGGGATATGGCCAGCCCGAGCGACTCACATAATGAACGAGCTTGACTCGACCGCACAAAAGCTGCTCCAAAAGGACCCTCATAACCCTAATGCTCACATTAGGACTGAGACAGGAGGAGCCCGCCCTGGCATGGGTCTCTCCAAGAGCGTCATGGGGGCTCCCAAGCCGAGCGTGCGCGATGCCATTATTGCTCAAAAGAGAGCCATGGCATCGTCGAAAAACCAGCCGCCACGGCCCGGTTCAGCAATGGCTCATTTCTCTCCCGTGGGGACGACAAGAAATGTTTCATCAACCTCCCAAGCATCCGTCGCTTCTGCTACCACAGCGTCCGCTGTTCCGGCACCAACAAAATCAGCCTTTGGTGCTAGCTCGGGGGGGCTTTCGGGGGCACCGATGCGGCCCGGCAAAAGAAGGCCTGAAGTAGCCGCTCGACCGGCAACGGCGGGTCCATATTCGGTGAGGAATGAAGTACCTCCCGCCGAGCCAGCGAGCCCGCCTTCAAAACCTAGGATCAAGACCGTCACAAGCCCAAAGACGCAGACACTCGTCATCTCCCCGAAGAAGGCGATCCCTAGGCCACAACAATGTCATTCTACGAATAGCAGCGAGTCCGGCATTCCAATTCCGGTTTCCGGTATTTCTAGTCCAACAAAGCCTACCAGCGCATTTGGTCTTCGTTCTCCCCGATCACCTCTAGCGCCGGAGTTGCCTCCATCATCCGTAGTCGCCTCGCCTTCCAGAGTTATGCCAGACCCTGCTCAAATACCACTGCCCGAGAGCAGCCCATCCAAAGACGAAGAGCTCTCGCTGGTAGTACCTGGCTCTGTGCTACCAACTCAGAAGACCCCGTCGCCGACGGAAGAGTCACAGCAACCGCAGATTGCTATAGTGCCCATTGAGGCCGTTGAGATCGTACCTGATAGCCCCTACAGGTCTGTTCAAGTGTATGAGGACCCATTCACTGCAGGACAGGCCCAACCGCAGTCCACCTATACCAGTCCTGTTTTGGAACCGAAGCCGGTCAATGAGGGTGCCGCTACTCCCCCGCCGCCACAGCCATCGTACGATGGCGAGAACGGTCACGGCATGGACGAAATTCCCATTCCTTCTTCCCCTGAACGTACCAGGCAAAATTCGCGCCTCCTCGACAGTGGCATTTCCAAGGTCGAGACTAAGTCCCTCGACGTCCACGGCTTCCGCAAGCTGCAGGGCATTATCCGCGATCCCAAGGGTGCCGCTATCTTCACCGACGACAAGTTCGACGCCCTCCTCTCTGGCCTCTTCGAGTTTCTCGAAGCCCACCCCTCCGAGATCCCCCACGTTCCTGCCGAGAAGCAACAGGACGTCAAGGCCCAAATCCTTGCCACCATTAAGCTGCTCCTTAAGAAGATGCGCGAAAACTTTCGTCCCCACGTCTCCCGCGGCCTCGACAGCCTGCTGCGCGCCCGCGCCGCCTACGACAGCCGCTCCCACATCGTCAGCGGAATGGAACTGCTCGCCGACGAGCTCATCACCCTAGGCGACCCTACCGAGATTACCCTCGTGTTGGCAAACACGCTCCGCGAAGCACTGCTTGATAAGGACCAGCAGCACAACACGGCTGCTCGCTCCCTTAGTATGGGAATGCACGTCCTCAAGGAGGTGGTCGAAAGCTCGGCAAATTTCTCGACGCCGTTCACGCCCACTGAGCAGGAACTGGACACACTCGCTGGGCTGGCGGCCAAGTGCCTCGAAAGCGCAGATAGTGCGGTGCGCATGGATGCTGTGCAGTTGTGTGTGGCACTACATGCGAAGGTGGGCGATCAGAGGTTTTGGGATGCGGTGAAGAGGGAGGGCGTAAGGGATGATCCGAAGAGTCTGATAACTTATTATATTGTAAGGAGGCAGCGTGAAGTTGGTACCAATGCATGAGGAAGTGCTTGGAGAGCTTCGCGACTCGCTGAAGACCCAATGGGCCATGGGGATTACGATGAGGAAGTTAGTAATGGGTAATATGATGGGTACAATAATGTGTTGTTTTTTGGAGAATGTACGAAGAAGAATCCATTAGATGTCTTTTATGGGGCTGTTGCTCTTGGGGGTTCGATTCTCGGTATCAAGGCCAGGGCCTTTTGCACGCGGATAGGATGTTGATGGAGGATGTTGTATGATGCGCTCAGTGGTAATGGAAATGAGACAGACAGAAAAGCATGGATCAAGGCAGGCGCTGGTGCAAGAAGCAGGGAATGGCAATTAAGATTTATGTGTCTCCTTAACAGCATGGCGTTCTTGTTATTCGCGGGTGTTTGGCTGGCTGTGTTAATTCACACATCATCATCAGTATATATTACATATCAACGCTGCATATTACGTCTTAGTTCACTTCCTAGATTTGACTTTCTGATGTATTACAAGGATCAAGAAACTATAGTTAAACTAAATGTTATAAGTACGAAAACTGCCTACTGTTCAAACCACAGGGGTATTTTAGTCTATCAAACAAAACGTAATCCCATTCCCGCGCAAAGATTTTATCGAGAACAAAAATGAAAAAAACACAGAGTGAAAACAAGAAAGAACATCCATAAGATATGCCCGTTGATGTCTGTGATGAAGATTCACTCGAACCTGATTTCTGTGCCGCCCGCTTCCCATCTCTACGCTTGTTAAATCGATGATGAAACACCGACTGACCGAGGGTGAGAACTTTTCCCATCTCACCCACCCATGACATCTAATTCGTGATAGTGTGCGTAACGCCGGTATCAAAAGAGAAAAGGAACTGCTTTCCTTTCAAGTGCTGCGTAAAAACAGCTTGAGTACTAGGGAAGCCGTGGGGTGAGCAGAAGGATGTGAATGCCAGAGACATTCGTCATCTGCATGGCTTCAGACGCGCCGACATGTTGAGCACGCTGACTGATGCCATTTATTCTTTTGACATGATTGACCGGTTTAACAAATAGGAGTTACTTATTCCGTCGCTGGGAGTAACAGTGTCGAGGAAAAGAGGAACTCGAAGGATCGAGGATCAGTAGGAGAGAAGACTGGTTGCTCTTGTTTTGACTTAATTTGCATGACTGGAACATGAAGAGAACCGATTAGCTAAAATCAACAAACCCAAAATGGAAAAAGTGTCATTGGCAAACTTACAGTTGAGACTAATCGCTTCAAAGTACGCTTTGATAGCAGGATCTTGTTCCTCCGTCACCAGTTTGCCATCCGACTCTCGGTGAGCTGTGCGCGGGAGGGCTTTACGGATCGTCAAGAGCATCCGCAGCAAATCGGCGATGACATAGCCCTGCTGGGCAAAGCTTCCTGGGTCCTTTTCTAATGGCCACATCGTCCTCAGGTTGGGTTGTTCCCAGGCCTTGAAAGCCCACGTCGATTTCTCGACACAGTTCAACAGGATCAGGGTAGCAAAATACATGCCGAAGTCGATCTTGACTTTGCTGTCTTGCAGCACTCTCTGCATGCCTGTAAGAAGGGTTTTGCTTGTAGCAGCCGCTTTCCGTTCTGCTGCGGCCGCAAGCTGCAGACAAATCGTGGTGAAAACTTCTTCATGGGTCTCCTCCTTGATGTGACTGATGACGGTATCGTCAAGAGTGGACTTTACCGAAATTGTCCATTGGCGCTCTCTGTCCAATATTTCCACTAGTCCCCAGAGTTCGAGAGATTTCTTGAGTAGTTCGTCGTTGGTCGTGCTTGCAATTTCGAGGGCGGTTTGTAGAGTAACTTGCATGAAGTTGGACGGCTCCCGCTTAATGAGCTCTGGAAGAACCTCACGCATATATGACTCGAGACGGGCAGGAACGTCTTGTGTGTCGTTGTCAACCATGATGATTGGGTAATCCAAAGGTTTATCTGATGGTACTGCCGTGGTCACCTTTCCGTCTGCTTCCCTGATCCCATCACGCTGTAAAACCTGAAGTCGCAAATGCGAAGAAAGCTCCGGGAAGTGGCACGCTTCGATAACTAGACCGTGGTTGCTAAGAACCATGGCTTGCTTAAAAGTATTGATCCTGCCTTGCGCTAGGACGATCTGAACGCCAGCAGAGTACAGATCGAGCTGCTCTGAGAACTTGGTACGTACACAACCAGAACGCCATACACGCGGTGACAAGACCTTGCGGCATGTGTCGCAAGGTTCTCCAGGGGAGCAAGTCTTTCGCAAAACCCTGCAGCGGATACACGCGCCAATCTTGCGCACCTCTTGAACCTGCTTTCTCCTTGTCGCATTGAACCTCGCTCGCGAATGACGGGCTTTGGAGGTTGTCTCGAGACGGAATCCGCCTTTGGTAAGCGATGCCGTTGTATGAGGGACAGAGTCGCCAGCCGGCATTGTTTGGAAAGCATCGGCCGTGTAGGTGATCTCGCCCCAGGGTTGGGAGGGCGTAGTCACGGGGATAGATGGCGACACTTCAGGCGGACTTTGGTGGGATTGGTGGGCTTGTTCGGAAGCCGAAAGACTGCTCGCTACTGCGGCGGCGGCAGCGGCAGTCGCACTTGCGGCCTCGGCAGCGGCGGCAGCTTCTTGCCCTAGCAGCTGAGGGTCAAGAAGCCCATGGTGTAGTCGAGCAGCGGCAGCTGCGGCCATCGATATGTTGGCGGCGTCGGCATTGGCGTTTTCCTCCACCCGTATTATCTCGTGTAATCTCTCTTCGGCGGTGAGAACTCGTTCTTCATCTGTCGGCGCAACTGGCTCGGCTGTAATGACCAACTTGTCAGTCTCTGGTGGTAAAGATAACGAAGGCGGTGTAAGCCAGACGCCTGCAACTTACGCTTTGGTTGCTCGACCAAAACAGTATGCTCGTCGGTCTGATGTGGATGCTCTACATTTCCTTGATCCTGCACAACAAAGTGTTCGACAGATTGTGAGGTAGCGGCGCCTAGTACGGTACCCGAAGAGACATTTGGGTGTAGAGGGACGCGATCGTCGTTCTTCTCGCTCATGTCAATCTGCCTCGAAACCTCGGCCAGCACTCCGAGAGCAGTCCAATCACGCTGGAGGTCGCGCTGTATCATGGGCAGATCCACTGGAGAGCCATTGACGCCATTGACCTGGGTCGGGACCTGCAAGGGCTGTTGTACCTGGCCCTGGGCGTGCTGCGTTTGTTGTAGTCGGTGGGAAGCATGGCTCATTCCGGAGAGGGTAAAGATGGCATTAACACGGTCGGCTTCGCCAATGGCGGGACATTTCTTGGTAAGGTGGGTTGTCAAGCTGTCGAGACGGCCTCGTGGGAAGTGCTCTCCGCATCTGTGTCGGTGAAGTGGGAAGCAATCAGCATCAGAAGCATCATGGGCGGCAGCAGTGGTCGTCGACATGGTCGGGGCTCAGAGGAGGAGGGTTGGAGACTGGTGAAAAGCAAAGCGATGGAGAGCGACGACAACAATGACGACGACAGTGTTGACATTAACTGGGAGAGAAGAGTCGGTCACCGCAACTCACGATTTACAAGTATGAGGATAACGATTGCTCTGGTCCTGCAGCTTTGGGCCTCGCTCGAAATACTGCAGGATCAGAGCATTCGGCCGTCTACCCATTGTGCCGGAGACTGCACGGCTGGACAATCGGGGGGCATCTAGGAAGAAAGACTGGCGACTGCTTGTCGGTGAGCGATTGGCGACTGGCGCTGGCGCGGGCCGGGGAGGGGTCTCCTCGATGGATGGCGACGTGAAAATACTGCCGGTCTAAAAATGTTGGCGGTCAGGAAATGCGAGCACGGCACGACGAGCGGTAGAGCGGTAGAGAGAAGCAGTTGGCCACGAACAATCCAGGAACCGGCAAAGACGGTGAGCGAGTCCGGGTGGTTGGCAAGGGTCACGTGGGGCTACGTATCTCGCCAAGCCCGCGCTAGCTCACTACTTTAGCCTTACATAAGAAAGGACCCGGGGGGGGGGGGGGGCCTGGACGCCCTGGAGCTCGAGCCGCACGGTGTCTCTGCACCTTGGGGCTGTCACTTACATAGTGTTCGGGCAAACTTCCATGGACACTCGCTCAGCCTATGAAGACGGGACTGAGTTCAGCTCAGCATTCACTCTGTAACAGGACGTTCGATACAACTGAAGTGACTTATGAAGTAAGCAAGGAACTGCCTCTTCAAATGACCCGACGACGGGAGTTGCTGGGTACATAGGTAGTACAGGTGCACAACAAGGCGCGCTGGACAACTTACTTTCGTTAAATCCGCCGCATATGCCGTGACTAAAGTTGGCACGGATTGATATCGATTTGCACCGACTTGGGTCAGTCCGAACTTCAGTTCCTTTCCCCCTACTGGTGACCTTGTCAAATGTCCATACGTATTCTAACTCGCGTCAGAGGCAGCGCCGGTCGTCTAATCCCCAGTATTGCCTTCGGAACTACCGCGCTTTCCGAGACATCTATACTAGTATGCTCAACACTCCCCAGCGTTTGAGACTCAAAAGAAAATGCCGTCATCATAGGCCTGGACCCCATCGCCAAGTTTGTTCCTGAACTGTACCTGTTAGACTAAAGGGGCCGGGAACCCACACACCCACTTGGATGGAATCGTTGTCGAGAGCCACTCATCACTGCAATCCACTCTGCCATCGAACCCCCCCACACGCTGCCATCATCCTTGTGAGGCAATCGAAGCCCCCGAGCAGTCCGGCTGTCCCTTACCTGTACTCACTCACTGGATATCCCGCAGTTTTTTGCCCTCCTTATACGCGCATCCCCTGAATCTGATACATCCTAGCGTTTTGATTCTGGTGTCGTTGTAGCTTATCAACAACTGCGTATTCGCATCAAGAAATCAGGGGCACTCTTTTTTCAGCAAATACCTAGTCTTCAGCCAAACGACCACGTCTTTAGCTTCCGTTTAGCCTAACCACACTCTTAGCCACAACCAACTCCCAGTGGACACGACGTTACGATCTTCACCACGCAGGGTGCAACAAGACATAATATTTCTACCCCGTGCTGTTCCAATTACTTCCAGCATATCGACAAGTCTTCAACACCGTCTGGGGAGTCCACTTCAACTCCGCGTCCTCGTGTTCCGTCTCCGTTTCCCCGGGTCCGGTTGTTGCTTCCGGGATGCAGAACCAGGGCAAGCACCTGCCAGCCGCCCCACACCACTCGACCGCTGCCTTCTTAGCTCCCGGTTAAGACCCGACAAGCCGTCAACACCACATACGCTCCGTCATCACCGACATACTGCATTCCCGTTTTGGCTACGACGTGAGGCACAGTATCATCCGCTTCATTTCGCTACGGAAGTCTTTCAAACCTACGCCTTTTATCTTGCTTAACCTGCGGAGTCATTACCACATACTTGACGGTGCCAAGTTTCGCTGGGTCTCGGCGTGTACTGGGCTTCAAGTTGGCGGGACCGATACGGGACGCATCGCGC